TTAACAACATACAAAATATAAAGTTTTACAATAGAAATTAACTCTTTGTTTCTCTATATATTTTATCACACCTCTAGTGTGTTTCTTGTTATTTTGATTAGAATAATGATGATTAATTGCTGCCTAGTCCAATTTTGTACAGGCCCATATAGTAATTATGGTATTTGTACCCTGTTTACCCGTTTACCGGTCTGCAACAAGTCTGGTGAGGGTCTCTGTGAGTAATTTTCGAACATAATTTGGTTCATTTTTGCATACTCAAAATATGAAAACAGTCATGTATTTTGTAATGGATTTAAGCCTTGAGCTCAGTTGTAGTTTTCTTTGTGACCTGGATGGAAGGAAAAATGAACAAGAAATTTATTTGCAGAGGTTTTCTATAAACTTGACAACCATCCTAGAAAATAAATGTTTCATCCAGGTAGGGCAAACGAGAGAAAAAAATAAACCCTGGACAAGGATTGTACACAAAAAGTTTACTGACTTTGACCTTTCATCTATAAAAATTAGAAAGAACGTTTGCTCTAGACAAGTATATGTTTATGCAAAGAGATTTTCTTACCTTCACCTTTCATCTAGAAAATTGGCTCAATGTCACCGCAAACCCTCTACCCGAGAGGACTCTAAGTATAAAGTATGAGCTCAAAAGAGCCAAGCGGGGAGAAAATATGCTCTGAACAAGGATTTTACACAAGGAGGTTTTCTTTACCTTGACATTTGTTTGAAAAAAATGGCTCAAGTCCTTGAACACCCTTCGCCAATGGATACTATGTGAGTAAAGTTTGAGCCAGGTAAGGCCAAGGGGAGAGAAGACATACTCTGAACAAAGTTTTCTTATGCAAAGCTATTTTCTGACGTTGATCTGTCATCTAAAAAATTGATTCAAGGTCACTGCATACCCTCTACCCAAGAACGATCTATTGTTTGAAAGAGTTAAATATCAGCAATTATCAACCTTGCCTTTGAATAGTGCATTCAACCAAGACTGAGGCAAAATAGGGTTATCGTTTCCCACTGTCACATTTGGGTTGTAGGGGTGCCATTAAGTAGTGTTAAGGTTTGGGACCAAATTGTTAGCAATTTTCTCTTTGTCATCTTTGGACAACATTTAAAATAGCACTGCTATGGGTAAGTATTCTTATTTAGTATATCTTGTCAACTTTTTGAGGGATCTCCGGCTCTCTGGCCCTGGAAGGGACCAGTAGACTAAACCAAACATTTTTTTTACATTGCATTGTGAGATGAAGTTAAAGAAAGACTACTACCTCCCTTACCTTTGAAGTGTAAAAACAACAAAGTTCAGGTTAGCTTACTGGCCCTTTTTCTTCAACAGGACCCTTCGAAAACCTGGCAAGTGGTTTTCCCTAAGGTCCTTAACCTTTCACTAGTGTTACTTTGTTCTAGTAGCCAAAGATGTTCTCGAAATGAATGCTTGAAATACGTGCCCCATCCATGGCACCACTTGGTGGTACCACTACAGCAACATTCTGATAGCGGGAAACGATAGTCCTAGGGGCCCTCTACCTTGCCCCAGTAATGATTTAAAGCACACTTCAAAGATAAGGGGTATAACATCTGACTTTTAATCCGTATATCAATAGACAAAGTGAAAAACAACAAAGTTCAGGTTACCTAACTGGCCTTTTATAGTCATTGGAACCTGTCAAAAAGTTGACAAAGGATACTCCCTAAGGCCCTTAACTTTTTTCCAGTTTAGTGTTAGTTTGTTCTAGTGGTCAATGATGGTTGAAAAATGAAAGCATGAAAGATGTTCCCCACCGTTGGCACCACTTGGTGGTGCCGTTACAGCCTCAAACCGATTGCGGGAAAGATAGTCCTAGAAATCTTCTATCTTGCACAGTAATGATTTAAAGCACACTTATAAGATAAGAGGTATAATAGCTGCTTGAAATATGTAACCCGCCCTTGACACCACTTGGTGGTACCACTTCAGCCTAAATTTTATGCCCGTATATAATAGCCCTGTGGACCCTTTTACCTTGAGCCAGTAATTGTTCGAAGCACACTTCAAGGATCATAACTTAAAATAGATTAAGTTACCTTCAAACCCTTATCAATGTAAATATTAGGAGTAAGCAAATTTCAGGTTAGCCTTTTGGCACCATCATGTTCCTGAGACCCGTAAAAGAGCTTAAAAGGGATTCTCCCGGAAGTACTTAACCTATTTCCAATGCTGTTTTATTCTTAAGCGGTCAAAGATGGTGACATTTTATTCTTTTTGTTTGTTTGTTTGTTTGTTGTGAAACCGCATAATTTTCCTTATGCAGGTGAGCTTAACTGCCTCCAAGTGTTTGAATTATTAATAAATAATTAAGTGTTGCATTAATTATCTAATTATTAATTATAAATTGTCGAAAATGAGGCATTAAACAGTATTGCGTCAGAGTACTCTCAGTCCTTTGATGAATTTCCTTAGTGGCTGCTAGCTTCTACGGGCTTAATGGCTGCTGTTATTGGCTGCTAGCTTCAGTCTAGTGATAACTTTGGCTGTGCCTTGTAGGTCACAATGTTAGGAAGTTGTGGCGTGATATTTCTGCTGCCATCAAGACTGTTTACTTACAGAAGGAGGCGGCCATCATTTCCGCTACAAATATGTACTCTTCTTCAAGGTCAGTACATCTTATATCAGGACTTTGTTTAACAATGGCTATAAAATACATTATATTCTCTATAAAATTTAATTAACATGTGAAGTAAGAGTTTAGTATTTATACTGCTTTGTAGAAATTTCTTTGAATTGGTTCGATTTGACTTTGTCCTAGATGAGGATTTAAATGTGCACCTTATGGAGGTAAGTAGCTTTACAGAAATTATAGACTGTGTTAAAGGATAAATACATACATACATACTTTTTTCAGAATCTGTAGCATTTTTGTTATACATTTACTGTAAACTTGGAAATTTACTGTTGTGTTAATTACGCAAATTAGAAGCAAGAACATTACGCGTTTTTGGTAATTCCTGCAATACTAGGATTATGTATTGTTAAAACTGAATAAAATATGCTGCTTAAAGGTGTTTGTACGTGGGGGATATTTACACAAAGGCTGTTTTATGGTATATTTAACGTTAATTTTCATGTTTACAGTTTTTGTCTATATAATTGAATAAAACATGTGATTGAGCAAATAATTCATTATGAGGTACATGAAAATGTAAATGAAATTGCATACTCTTTTCACCCAGTTAAAGAAGAGAAAAAATAATGGACAGAACAAAGTAATATTCTTTTGATGGCTGGAGATTTTAAAGAATGTTCATCTGAAAGGAGGGTAGTCCAAAAAATATAATCATTTAAAAAAATACATACCACTGTTACAACAATTCCCTGCATCAAGAAAACGTATATTTAATGTGCTACAGAATGAACATTGGGATCGATCCTATAGTCATACATAAATTTTACACATTTTCAACTTCTTCTCAAGAATCGTTTTTATCAATTTCAATCAAACTTGCCGCAAAGTATCCTTAGGTAAAGGGGATTCAAGTTAAATGAAGGGCCAGAAAAGATGAAACTTACATGAAGCTTCCTGACATAGTGTAGATTCAAGTTTGGTCATATCATGACCCTCAGGGGTAGGGTGGGGCTACAGAAGAGATCAAAGTTTTAAATAGGAATACATGTTTCTAGGAAAAAATCTTTAAAAAATCTTCTTAAGAATGGCAGGGTCATAATATGCCAGCAAGTTATTTAGATTCACCTTAATTAGGGATCAAAGTAGGAATTGGAAAAATCTTTAAGAATTGTTTATTGTAATCTGCATAAAAGACCTTTTTTGCAGAACAGAAGCAGAGTTAATGTGATGTTAAGGTGTCTTTCGTCCATCCGTCTGTTCTAGCTTTCTGTCTGTCTGTCTGTGAACAATTTTCCAAAATGCTATTTCTCCTCCACTACACTAAGATACATAATTCTGTGTATCAGTTTTTGATTTTGATGAACAGAGTTGCGATAGTTAGTGAAAAATATAAATACTTTCAAAACGCTACTCCTCCTATAATTTTAATCTGATTTAAAAAAAAAAAAGACTTTGGACAAAAGTAGGTTGAAAGAAAACATATGGGGATAACAAACAGTATTCAAGCTCAGAAGTCCATTAAGCAATACAAACTTTGGAGCAGAGCAAACACGGACCTCTAAAACATCAGAGGTGGGATCAGGTGCCATGAAGGAGTGAGCATCCTCTGCCGGCCGGTCACACCCGCCATGTGCTCTAAATGCTACTCCTCCGACAGTCTTAGCCTGATTGCAAGTAATCTTGCAACAGAAAGAGACTTGACCAAGGATCATCATTCTATTTATTGCTGTTGCAAAGTTTCAAGTCCAAGTGCTTTGTTACAAGTACAAAACAGTAGAGCTACAATCTCGTCAGAGACTTCTGTGGTGCTTACTGTATCAGATCTACATTGGAAGTTTGGTGATGTTAAGATGCTTTCGAGAAAACCAATAACGTTTTATGCATGGTTCCATATTGTCCCGACATCATATTTGCCAGGCCCGTAGCAATGGTATCAAAAGGGGGGGGGTGTCCCAAAAAATCTGACAAGCAAAAAAAAAAAACCTAATCAACTGTCCATATCCTGGAATCTGCCAGTGCTCAAACCTAGATACCTAAAAAATTGGGGGGGGGGGGCAACCAGCATCCCAGCATCTAAAGGAAAATTAGTCAAAGCAAAATACTATACTCAGAAAAAAGGGGCAGCTTCCCCTTCTACAGGCCTGTTTGCAAGATAGGAACCATAATTATATGAATTATATTGATAACGTTAATTACAAAACGTAGATTACTTTGTACAAGATTAAATGATGTAAAATGTGTACTGTGTACAGATCAATGCTCGTTTCAATGGTTTACGTGTTTGATTGGTCAGGATGAATGAATAGATTGATATGCAGTGACAGTTTTACTTATATTTTTTAAGTATTGTTGATAACGAAAAACAATTTAATTCTGCTTATAACGCGGTATTTGATTGGATAAAAATTTACTTTATATGGTATAAAATGGGTTGCCTACGTCACAATGACTTGCGTCAAGAACGTATCGATCCGCCTGACGTTACATTTAAATTTTGTACAATTTGATGTCATTTTTTGAGGGCAATCATTTTTTTACACTGAATGAATGAAAACTAAATTATAAGGGATGAAATTAGCTACCCAATTTATATGGTATAAAGTGGGTTGGAAAAGCTTACGCTTTTTTATAAACCGCTTCGCTTAAACTGCCCAAACACACTTATACCGCATAAATATGGTAGCTATTAAATAAATTCCTTAAATGGATCCTGAAAACGAACCACTCACCTCAGGTTAAAAGAATATATAATTAACGAGGTTGGATCTTGATATTTAAAGTCTTAAACTTTTTGTCAAGTATATTATTATTCTTTACACACATTGCTTAATTAAAAATAAAAACAAAAAATGAGGGTCAATATGCTTCTTTTGGCGCTACAGTACATTTAATATGACCTTTCTGCACTGTAATTTATGTCTTAGTCAAAAATCACATCTTCGATGTTTATTTTATATTAAAATTGGCTCAATTTTTTCCTGGACTTTCAGAATATATTTACTTTATTTGTCACAATGTAATGAAAGAATTCAGAAGAAATAATTTGATAGATATTTCAGAACCAGCATAAAACATTTCACTGCAAAAAACAGCTCTGTTTGCAACCAGCATGGAAAAATAGGAATTTTAAACTTTAAAGTACTGTATATATTTCAAAAGGAAAAAAAAATGATCATTTTCTTCTAAAACTTCCGCCACAAAATATAGTTCCTGACTTAATCCTATATGAATGGAACTTAATCGCGGTTTTTTCATTGGATATAGTTTAATTTGCATTGTAGAATCCAGATTTAATGTTAGAACTTAAAAATGATGCAGAATTTTCGAAATAAAGGTCCAGACCAAAATCTGCTCAAAAGCTGAAGATCGAACCTCCTTAACAATGTATTTCTGTAACTAATTTGTCATATAACTTTTATTTGTTTCTGGTTGCATTTGATGGACTTGGTTTTGTTAACATGAATTACACAAATTGAGCGACATGTTTATTTTTTTTTAATTTCACTTTAGACAAAAATCTGAAAATGTGAAAATTCTATATACATGTATTCATCAGGCATTGTTATATTCAAAAGCCATAACTTAATGCATAGCATATAATTGCTGTTTTTTAAATCAATGGTCCAATCATTGCCTGTTCAGCCTAAGCGACAGACCGAAAAGCCACTTGTTAGACTACAGGGTTAGGGTTTGGATCTCAGGGGGTTCTTACCTGTGTATTAACACTTAACAATGTTAGTTTGATAACTAGACTTGTCATTAACAAAATACTACAATATATTTACCAATTATTTTAAGAAAAATGTAATTTAAATTGCTTGCGACATCCAAGTAGTATTATGGACAGATTATGTGAGAAAAGGTGTAAAGAGTTCTTATCAAACTGTAAAATGTTTGTGATATATGTCTAACCCATTTCCAAGTGGGTCCAAATTGGTCATAGCTTAACAAATTCATGATATTCAGGTAATTTTTAAAAGCCCAGGGCCTCGTTTTTTGTTTTTTATTTTACTTTAAATGTGCAGTTTTTCTCTTATTTCCCCCTCTTTCTCTTTGTCACCTTGTATGGAGTCTTCTCCTTTGACTGTTTACCTGCCTATTAAACAGAACCTTTACCGGCTAAATTTGAACGGTATGAAAATCTGGAAAAAATGCTTTCATGAAATTCCTATGCACAAGGATATGAAATATAAAGCTTGTAATATTCCAATATGGTACAACTCAAACATAAAGATTGATAGTAAGAGTATTTTTATAAAAAAAATGGTATCTCAAAGGTGTTAAAACTGTTGGAGACTTCCTGTCTGATGATTGTTTTTTTCTTTCAAAGTCTGCTTTTCAACAAAAATTTAATATTCCTACTTTAAATGTAATGCAGTTCAGTAGTGTCATTTGTGCTATTGCAAAATGCTTTAAAAATCTGGCAATTGAGAGAACATCAATGAAGTAAAGTTGCTTGCCTTATTTACCATTCTATTATGAAAATATTTTGTTAAATAATAAATGTACAAAAATTATTTATAATGTCATAAACAAAAATTGTATGCAGCCTACAGCAATTTCAAAGTAGAATGTAGAGTTGACTCCCCATGGAGTGAATGATATATGCACACAAGATGTTTTTCGAGTATGTTTCAAGACTACAAATGATTCTTCTGTACAGTGGTTTCAATACCGACTTCTTCATAGAATTCTTCCTGTTGGATATTATCTTAAAAAAGTTAACATTAAAACATCTGATTCATGCAACTTTTGTAAGGAGAATATTGAAACTATTCAACATGTATTTGTAACTTGTAATGACATAGTGGATTTATGGAGAAATTTGAGTATGCATATCTGTAGAACAACCTCTAAAAGAATTGGTTTTAATATTAAAAATATTATTTTTGGTGAAATACCACTCACTAAAGATAACATGATTATAAACTTTATTAAATTATACACTAAGCAGTATATTTTTTCTTGCTCATCACAATGTAAAAAACCAAACTTTTTTGGCCTTATAAATCATATGAAAATGAAATATAACATTGAGAGAAGTGTATCAATCTATAACTCTAAATTTTCATTGTTTGAAAAGAAATGGGACTTATGGAAGAAAATGTTTGAACCCAGTTGAAATGTTTTTCTTTTTAACCGACCTATGGAATATTATGGAATGTTTTATATTTGTTTTTTCCAATAATTGTTTATATTTTTTTTAATATGTGAACAACAGATACATGTATAATGATTTCTGTCCTCTTAAAGCAGCCTTCATATTTCTTCATCATATTTCCAGCTTAATCCAATAAGTGTGAGTGACTCTATGAATGTGTGTGTGTGTGTGCAAAAAATCCAATTTGACCATTATGCAATTTTATGCTAAGGCTGTGGAAAAGATATTAGCTCTCTGTGGCAATCGACCATTATATGTTTTTTTTTCTGTTAACGTGTCTTAAATTTCCAGGTGAACATGTCTCCTAACCTGTCCTCAGGTCACTTCCCACGAAATGCCGAGATGTATGAAAAAGTAATGTTCAATTTGCTGAGTGTTGTCTTAGTCACTAGGCCAGTCAAAAATGACTTCTTTAAAAGGTATGGGATTCACATTTGATATCTATACAGCACTGAGATTAAAATTAGTAATTGATATGTTTTTTTTTCCTTTGAAACTCTCCATTCTGAATTTTGGATAAGTAGAAGGGTTGGATTTCTGACAAAGTCACACAGGACTATTGGGGCTTGATTTAGATAATCTTGTTCCTTTTTTTAGCTCAAAGAGACGTTGCATACAGTATCCTTGGGTAAAGGGGATTCAAGTTTGCTTAAATAAAGGTCCAGGGTTTCTTGAAAGGGGAAATAATTAAGAATAGGCACCGGTACGGTAGCCTAGTGGAAGGGCGCTCGCTTTGTGATTCGGAGACCCAGGTTCCATTCTCGTTCGCCGCACCGCGTCAAACCTTAGACATAAACATAGAAAGTGACTGTTCCTTTGCCAAAAGCCCGGTACTAGAAGTGAAAGTCACTAGTCTTTCGGACGAGTCCTTGAAAACTGAGGTCCCGTGTCACAGTAATTGTTGGCACAATGAAGAACCCGCACTGCTCAATGGCCCCGAGTGCCGTGTATAGGTAAAAATTTGAAGCCCTTCACCGTTATATGGTGACGTCCCTATATGAGTAAAAATTTCTCGAATGGGACGTAAAACAACATACATCAATCAATCAATCAAATAAAAATAGTTAAAAATAGACTTGGTGTCACAAAAAATCTTTTTCTCACGAACCACTGTTTCTAAAAAGATGAAACTTCCTGATAAGTGTTGATTCAAATTTGATGTGGTCACAATAGGTGATCAAATTTTTACATGGGAATATGTATAGGAAAGAAGGTATCTTTCAGACAATTTAGACCACATGTATTGCCCACAAAGATTTTAAGATATGTGTTTTCATAAAGATTTTACACAATATATCTGAAAACTGAAGTGGGTGATGGCTGTGGACACCATTTTCTAAAGGAAAATAACCCATTCAATGAGTCATTTTGAGGTCTTTTCTGTTTCAAACTTTGAAATGTGACAGATTAATGACGTCTTATTTCCAGACCAGACATCCTTTATACCATTTTCTTTCCTGATCATAATCATATATTCAACTCATATGTAAGGAATTTTCAAAACTTTTTGAAACATCAATTTTTTAGGGCATAATAAAGCCAAAACCGTACATACTTATTTCTTTAAAGTCTTCTATAGAACAGCAAGAAGAAATGATTAGTTTACTGAATACAAATTCTTGTAAAAGTAACATGTAAATATGGTGCATTATACTAATTATTTACCGATACCTGGAATTTACTTATTTTCATTTTTTATTCAGCCTAATTATATAACCACACCTATATTTCAGATATCATGCAGGTAGGAATTAAATAAATTTCAAAGCTTTGTATTTGTCTTTGATTTGAACAGTTCAGAGGATGAAGCCAATATGAGAGTCTCTGACAAGGACATTTCTGTGTTCCCTGAGTGGTGTCTCAGTAAATCATGTCTACACAGCTGTAGGGAAGAGGGAAGTTAGTTTTATACTCTGTGTTCCCTGAGTGGTGTCTCAGTAAATCCTGTCTACACAGCTGTAGGGAAGAGGGAAGTTAGTTTTATACTCTGTGTTCCCTGAGTGGTGTCTCAGTAAATCATGTCTTCATAGCTGTAGGGAAGAGGTAAGTTAGTTTTAAACTCTGTGTTCCCTGAGTGGTGTCTCAGTAAATCATGTCTTCATAGCTGTAGGGCAGAGGTAAGTTATTTTTATACTCTGTGTTCCCTGAGTGGTGTTTCAGTAAATCATGTCTGCATAGCTGTAGGAAAGAGGGAAGTTATTTTTATACTCTGTGTTCCCTGAGTGTTGTCTCAGTAAATCATGTCTACACAGCTGTAGGGAAGAGGTAAGTTAGTTTTAAATTCTGTGTTCCCTGAGTGGTGTCTCAGTAAATCATGTCTGCATAGCTGTAGGAAAGAGGGAAGTTAGTTTTATACTCTGTGTTCCCTGAGTGGTGTCTCAGTAAATCATGTCTACATAGCTGTAGGGAAGAGGGAAGTTTGTTATTATACTCTGTGTTCCCTGAATGGTGTCTCAGTAAATCATGTCTACATAGCTGTAGGGAAGAGGGAAGTTTGTTATTATACTCTGTGTTCCCTGAGTGGTGTCTCAGTAAATCATGTCTACACAGCTGTAGGGAAGAGGGAAGTTAGTTTTAAATTCTGTGTTCCTTGAGTGGTGTCTCAGTAAATCATGTCTACATAGCTGTAGGGAAGAGGTAAGTTAGTTTTATATTCTGTGTTCCCTGAGTGGTGTCTCAGTAAATCATGTCTTCATAGCTGTAGGGAAGAGGGAAGTTATTTTTATACTCTGTGTTCCCTGAGTGGTGTCTCAGTAAATCATGTCTTCATAGCTGTAGGACTTGTGTAAGTTTGATATTGTACAGACAAAGCATATTCTTTGGAAATAACTAAGTCTGTATCTTTAGTACTTAGGATCTCAAAGCTTTGTAAATTAGATGCAATTTTTGTGCAGCATGCTTTGTGTCTCTATCTCAGGGCCTTTTAAAAGGGGATTTAAATTTCTAAAAAAATGAAAGATAAAAAACGCTGTCGATTTAAAAATCCCAGGGATTTCGTTCTTTATCAAGTAATTCTTTCACTTTCCCATGAGCTAATGTCAACAAAATGATACTTTTAGAAAATAAAATGTCATAAAAGAGGCTTGAAAAGTGTTTCTTTTTTGGAGTTATCGTTCATTTCATACATTTTATTTTAATTATATAAGAAGGAAATCTATCTCAATATTCAATGTTTACAATGAACAGTATGACGCATATGAACATGCATTTATTTACAGAAGTTTATTTGGTGACTGATTTCCATTATCAATTTTGCTGGAAGTTTAAAACATGATCAAGATAATAATAATAATGAAAATAAGAAGAAAGCATTTCCAATAAAGGAGTATAAACATGGAAGTTTGTATTGTAGATGTGTAAGTTATGTAGCCAATGTGTGTCTCTGACAATGAAGGAAACACTGAAGCTGGCTTATCTAGAGCATGTTAATAAGGGAAGCTGTGGTCGTGTCCTCCCACAAAAAATGGTAAGCTCAATCAGCTGGTAATGAGAGCAAACTGAAGATGTTCACAATAGAAACTTTATTATCTCAGTAGTCTTCAGACACAAAATGTCATAGTTAACTCCCATACATTGCAATCTGTAAATGAACAGTCTTAAGTAGCATATCCAACTATGTCTAAACTACTGTTTAAACTACTGCACTAGCGTAGAGTATTTTTAGGTCACCTGAGTCAATCACTTATTCATGTGACTATTGATTTTATAAGCATTGAACCCTTCACCAAAATTGTGAAATTCATGGCCCCAGGGTCAGGGGTTCAGGAGTTAAGGTGGGGCTCTAATGATCATGTAGTGAAAATGCACAAATTCTTTAAAATTCTTCTCTTCTCCACCTGTATATTTACCAGATAAACTAAATGCATGGTTAAGATGAGCAAGGATGCCTCTTCCAAATTTGTGAAATTTGTGGCCAGGGTCAGGTGTTCTGGTGTTTGAGGTAGGGGCTCTGATGATTATATAGTGAAAATGCACTATTTCTTTAAAATCTTCTTTTCTGCCCCTGAGGATTTAGCAAACATACTTAGTGCATGGTTATGATAAGCAAGGGCACCTCTTCCAAAATTGTGAATTTCTCGGCCCCTTGGTCTAGGCCCTCTGGTGCTAGGGTGAGGCTCTGAATTTAAAATCTACTGAGAGGAGTTATTCCGTTTTGCTATTCACCTATGATAATTAATCACTGTAATGAAATGTATGGAGATAACGAACAGTAATCAAGCTCAAAAGTCCATTAAACAATGCAAAATAAGAGCAGAGCAAACACGGACCTCCAAACATCAGAGGTGGGATTAGGTGCCATGGAGGAGTGAGCATCCCATGCCGACCGGTCACACCCGCTGTGTGCTCCTTGTCATGATCGGGAAATAACGGAAAAATAGTGACTAGTGGGGACAAGTACAGTTTAGAAGGGTATATAGGAATCACCTTGTATGTCTATCTGTGCAATCTTAACTGGGCTATATCTTTTAGTGGAGAATCATTGGAGCTCATACTTGGTTCAGAGATTGTTTATAGCCCCAGAGTATGTCATAACCTTGATGCAAGGTCATTGTGGCATGTTCAAGGTAACTGACAGAAAAAGTATTGCATTCTTGTCCTGGCTATGACTGTTAAATACTCATTTTCGTGGGGGTTTAATTTACATTCTTTTCGAGGTGTGGAGAGACTCTCGAATTCATGACCACCACAAAATGTAAGATTTCAAATGCATTACTACTTAACACTTCTCCAATCACGAAATCAAATCCCCACAAACCAATATTTCTTTCTCAAACCTCGAAAATTTGACCCCACGAAAATATGTGATTTTACAGTACTTTGTAATAGAGAATCATCGGAAACTCATACTTGGTACAAAGATTGTTTATGACCTGAGTTTGTGTAGTAACATTGAAGCAAGTTCATTGTGGCAAATTTAAGGTCACTGGTGATTAAAGTGTGAAGATCATGACAGGTCTATAATTTTCTAATGGAGAAACATTGGATGTCCATACTTCACAAAAAGATTACTTATGACCAGAGAATATGTAATTGTCATTTTTTTAAACAAGGTCTTTTTGGCAAGTTCTAGGTCAAATTTGAGTAGGAACTTTTAAAAAATTGTGAAAAAAAATAAAGATGAACATGAATTTCTTTCAAAGTAAATTAAGACTAGAGGTAAATACATGTGTAGTTACAACATACTAAATAGTACTAATACATGAATTAAATTTACATATAACTTGTCTATAAAGTATTTACATGTATATCAAAATTACCCTTTTTCTATCTGTATTTTTAGGTCACCTGAATCACTAAAGTGATCTATTTATAATGTTATATATCTGTTTTTGTCTGTCGTTGTGCGTTAACATTGGAATAATTTCGGCTTTTTCTCTGAAACTGCTGAACCAATTTCAAAAATGTTTTGTATGTATCTATTGGTGAAAGTAAAGTTTAAAAAATTGTGAATCTCATGACCTTTGTCCCACTTGGGCCTGAGCAGAGGGGCTAAAATCAAAATTAACAAGCAGTCAAATTGTTGGCTTGATTGTAAAAAAAAACATTGAGCCCGCTATCAAATTTGTGAAATTTATGGCCCAGGGACAAGGTTTTCTGGATTTAACCCCTAACCCTAACCGCTTTTGATCGTGCAGCGAAAATGCATAAATTCTTCAAAAATCTTATCTGTTTCTGGATATTTAGCAGACAAAATAAGTGTATGATTACAACGAGAAATCTCCCAGGATAGTGAAATTCTCCACTACAATCATGTATAGGAATTTTTGCTCTGCTTTAAGAGTTATTTTTCTGATAATAATAATATTAATATAATAATCAATGTAAATAATGTAATTGATAGTTAAATTGAATAAAAAAAAATTACAATAATTTTTAAGTGATTAATAGAAAAAGTAATTTCATAGTTTTTAAAAATCAGGTAGATTTGTAAATACAAAGATGAATAAGATGAGACAAAAATATCTTACTTATGTAATTATATATATATATATATATATATATATATATATATATATATATATATATATATATATATATATATATATATATATATATATATATATATATATATATATATATATATATATATATATATATTATTCAAAGACCAAGCAAGGCCAATGGCATGAATATACTTTGCAAATACTGGTTTCATGTTAAAAGACTTTTGTCTTATGTATGGAGATAGTGATGGAGTGTAAATAGCACTGGCATGTACAGACAAGTTTCTGAATTATTGCTGATCACCAGAACTGTTTTATTGATCTCAGTTGATGGTCCTATTTTGCTTGTTTTTTGAGTTACAGGTTATTTTGTGTTATCTTAATATAATAATTTACCATTCTGTAGATCCTTTACAGGGTATTATTATACTGGGTGACGGTTAAGGCCTTTTGGGTCTCTCGATCAAATCCTTTAGAATTTTGAAATGATTTCGTTTATTTCTATTATATCATTTTAGACGTTGGAGTTCGCTTTAGAATGGTCTCCCTCAACAAAAGACCCAGAGTTTCAGAGTCTGAATAAGAGGAATAAGTTGATGTACATGTGGTTTGTTGGCAAATGTAGACAGAATGCCGCCTGGTATTAGACCAAACAATCAATCATCCGTTACAAAAGAATAACCACTAAAACAAAAACTGTCATGTTATTGCAGAATTCCTTATCTCCGACACAGAAGAGTTACATTGCTATTTTTTAAATTTCTTTCAGTGGAAATCTATTTAGGAGATTTAATCGAGTAAAATGTAAAAATAGACTCTTGAAAATATTAGGCGCAGTTTAGGTATTATTGCCATTAAGGCATCTGCCTGTGTTTATTTGATACCATTGCATATATTGCATGTACTCCTTGGTTTAACTTGGTTGTACCATTTTACATGTACAATTTGTGGGATATACTTCATTTTTTGTATGTTTGTTTTGTTAATACATATTATTTATATGATACATATGCAGGTGATCTTTTGTAACATATCAATTTTGTGTTATAAGTGGAGCATATCTCGATTTAGGGATTTCAGCTTTAGTGTGTTGATATAATTTTGGACATGCATGAAGATATTTTAATTTGTGGATTCTTATCATATAGTGCAATATTCAAACAGAAATGTAAATTAAATGTTTGCTGCTGAAATTAGGCATATGTTTTTGTCAGTTTTGTGTTAATTGTAATCAAACCACTATATAGGATTTAGCTTAGCTATATCTATTTATTTCCAAAAGGGAAATAATAGTGTAGTGGTTTGAGCTTTAATACGGACCATGGATATCGGCCTGAGTAGCTCAGTGGTTAGAACACCTGACTAGTAATACAGGGGTCCCAGGTTCAATTCCCAGTCAGGCATATACTTTTCTTTCATTCCTCCTTCTTTATTGAATACTGCAATAAAGTAAAAGTTCTGGTTAATACCTGTATGAAGTCCACAATGTTAAATTATGAATTGATTTAGAAGTACTGACTAGTATGCTTTAAAAGTTGTAGCTATGTATAATACATGCATGTACATTGTAACTCAGAAAACATTTGCTTCACAATAATTAGAATGTATGATGTTGATGTTAACATTTTAATTAACTTAAAAAGTTTTACTTCATTGCTAGTAATTAAAAAAACTCTTTCTACTCTGTTTTACTTCATTAAATTTAAGAAATGCCTGATGTAGACATAAGTCATCCTGACCTACTAATGGGCCACAATGTAGACATGAGTCAGCCTGACCTACTAATGGCCACAATCCAGACATCAAGTCAGTCTGACCTATCAATGGGCCAAAATGCAATCGTGAGTCAATCTGACCTGCTAATGAGCCACAATGAAGACATGAGTCAGTGTGACCTACCAAGATCATATACATATCAATACAAGTTGGCCTGATCCCTGTAAACGTAATTAGAAATAAGTACATCATGCATCCTTGAGTTTACTTATTTATTATTTGACAAACTATTGTTCGTTTGAAAAAGTACTTGCGTAATGCAACAAAATTTCCCACAATAAAACCAGTATTTGAAACTCTACATAAAAGAAGATGGATAAGCAGAGTAAAGGTTGTAAGTCCTGCCAAAGATATACTAGCGCTGCAAAAATAATTGCATTTTTAATATAAAAAATATTTTTATTACAAAAGGCCCATGGGCCACATCGCTCACCTTAGTAACTATGGCCCTTCTTCAACAGCAGATTCATAATTTGAACAATGTTGAATCTACACTACCTGAGGATGTTTCTGTGTTAATATGACTAATCTTGACTTTGCTGTTCTTGAGAAGAAAGAATATTACATATATACTACAGTGTATGTATTCTTATGTGTAACTTTCATCCCCTGTTGTTGCCCCACCCTACCCACAGGGGTCATGATTTGTACGAACTTCAATCTACCCTACCTAAGGACGCTTCTGTATTAATATGACTTATCAAGGCCTTGCTGTTCTTTAGAAGAAAATTTTTAAAGATATTTTCTATATATTAATATGAAAAACTTTGATCCATGTTGTTGCCCCACCCTGCCCCTGGGGCATGATATGAACAAAGTTGAATCTATGTAGTAATAAAAGGTTTTATAAAATAGTTCGGGTTCGGGATGTATATATTTGTATACGTCATGATCAGCTGATCACTGAACTACCATATCAAACCAGTTGTGAATTTACCCTGGATGTATACAGAAGTCTGTTGACACATGTCCCGTCCGGAGTCCAGAGCTCAGGTGGGTTGTAACCTATGTTACCCCTCACCATATTTCACAAGTTGTACTAACTAAATACTGTACTCCCTGATACAAACGCACTTCACAACATTGGCGTCGCCGGTAGGATTCCCCGATCGGTGAAGTGCGACATTATGTGTTCATATTTCGCGCCAATTTTTTCTTTGCTTTTCGTTAATCTTATCAAATAAAATTCTTTTTCAAAAAATAAATTCAATGGCGGTTTCTATCATTTCCTGTCTTTTTTCTCATTTTTTCATTTAGATTTCATTGTTGTCGGATTTTCTGATAACAATCATAAACATTTCACTCTCGATTTTCTGTCGGACTTTCTGATAGTTAATCAACAACACGTCTGTTTCTTCTATCTTTATTTTCTCAACAAAGTAGAACTTAATCAAAATGGCAACTAGTGAAAACCCTGTAGACATAAACAATGCCAGCTTTGGGGAATTAAAAACAATCCCAAACATAGGAGAAAAGAGGGCAGGGTTAATCGTGAGACTTAAAGAAGGAAAAGGGAAACTTTCTGTAGACGACTTAAAAGCACTAACAACAATCCCAAGCACAATCCGGGATCCCCTTGTGAGTGAGTGTGTGATTGTTTTCAGAGAGAGAGAGTGACACAACCCGAAAAAACACATCCAAATATTGAAGATGCTCTAAGTCAAATTACAAAATTACAATCAGAAATTGGTAAGCTAACAAAAGACATTGAAAGAAAAAATATACAAATTTCTCAGTCAGAAAAAGACATCACTGCTAGACAACAACAAATGGAATTTTTAAGAACATACATTAAGATCTGAACATGAAGAACAAGTGCACAAGTTACGACAAAATTTGAAACAGAGTTAGAAAACACAAAAGCACACTATGAAAACACAATTAGTAAAAAAAATGACAGCAAAGGACAAAGAACTTGCAGTGATGGAACAAAAACTTTTGGAACAAGACAGCAGGTGGGTTAGTAAAATACAACATTTAGAAAATAAAATCAAGCAACTTGAAGATGAAAAAATCAGTCGAGAAGTAGACAAGTTAGCCCCACAAGGAGTTTACAGAAACTTTTCATCGGTTAGCCTTGACACCAATGAGCCAAAGGGACCAAGTCCACCAAAAATGTTTACATTTGATGGAAAGAGTGACTGGAGACCCTTCTTCACCCAGTTGTCCCACATTGCATCAAGATACAAATGGTCCGATAAACAGAAACTGGACAAACTTATTGAGAGTCTTCGAGACAAAGCCTTGAAATATTTCAGTTCCAGACCAAGTTCAGATCAGAGAAGTTTTAAGAAACTGAGCGCAAAAATGAATGAGAGATTTGGCAAGAAAGGCCTCATATAATACGAAGACAATATCAAGATGTCAAACAAGGTCCTGAGGAATCCGTAGAAGAGTTTGCAGATAAAGTTTTGGAAATGACAACAGACGGATACCCAGACACACCAGAAGACTGTCGACAAACTGTTGCAATAGATGCATTTTTGAGAGGCTGCACAAATAAACAAGCCATGGACAAAAACCCACCCACATTAGACATTGCAACACAGTACATAAAAGGTGCAATCACAAATCAAAAGCTTATTTTAGGTCTTAAAAAGTCTGAAAGAAGAAGGGTGAAGTTTGAGAGTTCAGAGAGTGAGGGGGAGGAAGATGAAGAGAAAGTTAACAAAGTTAGGGCTATTTACAAAACAAAACAAACATCAACACCATACACAGAACAAACAAAAGTGTCAAGACTAGAGTCAAGGGTCAAAAGATTGGAAGATGACACAAGTGAAATAAAAACAAACATTCAAGATATTCTAAAAATTTTAAAATCCTCTAGTCAGAAAAACAATTACAGATCAAACAGTAGAGAGAGTGCAAGAGTTAGATCTTCGTCAAGTAGCCCAAGCAGACAAACTTGTTTTAAGTGTAATCAAGATGGTCACTATGCCAAAGACTGTCCTAATCGTAGGAATAGGTCACCATCACCCCAGTCTAAACCTTTAAACTTCAATAGGTTGGAGATGTAGGCCATTATCCAACCTATTCAGATACATTAGACAGGCCTCGTCTTAAAGTAAAGTTTAAAATACAAGAAATTGAACTTTACAAAGATGATAAATTGAAAAACACCCTTTATTCCCTTGTACTGTAAACAACAAAACAATTGATGCTGTGATAGATACTGCAGCACAAATCAATTATGAACTTTTTGAAACCCTCAAACCAAAACCAACACTGAATAAAGAAATAACTTTAAAAGGGACAGGTGAACATAAAATCATCAAAGCCAAAACAGCAGAAAAGGTTAAGTTAAGAATAGGGCCAATTGTACAAAGATGGGATATAGTGGTTGGGGATATTGCAGACTCATTATTACTTGGCCTTGATTTTTTGAAAGCACACAACAGCATTATCAATATGCAAAACTTGACTCTTATATTGGATCAAACATCAGTACCAATCACTAAGATCAAAACAGAGGGTTCTAAGAATGATTTTCAAATTTACATAATTTCTGTACAGAAAAGAACTGTCATCCAACCTCAAACAGTTCAAATAACACCATTAAATGTTGACAAATTCATTTTCAATGGTTCACTTTGTATTGAAACAGGAAAAATTTTTTCAAATTTTTTCAAAGGGTATTATGCCTCCTAATTCTGTGATAAATTAAGAACAAGCAAGAATTCCCTTTAGAAATCCAACAGAAAGATTTGTCACTATAAAAAAGGGTCCCACAACTCATAAAGCAGCATTTTGGAGTGGACACTTCCTTTGCAAACATACATAGAAATGGGCCGAAAACTCCAGGGAGATCGCGAATTATTACAGGCAGACTGTCAAAATTTACTGATAAGGAAAAAATTCTCCAAGCGCAAAGAGAACTGAACAAAAGTGACCGTGAAGCGTCTGACCAGTCTGACCAGTCCGCGCAACCAAATGCACCCGAAAGAACTTTTTACGTCACGCCACAGAGACCAATAGAAATAGCGGAAAACCGAAAGAAACTTCAGGAGATAAATAATCAGTACTGGAAGGAGAAAGTAATGACACGATTTGACACGATTTCCGAATGGAAATGTGTACAGAGAAAAAGTATTGAAACCAAAGCCAGAAAATATCCTTGAGATGACCCAATCGGATAAGGAAAAGCTTCAACAGATTTCTATGTCTACCATGGATTGCTCAGATGAAGGAAACACATTCAAAGCAGCTGCAGCAACAGTAGAGACGTACAATCAAGTCAGGAACTTTTATAAAAAAATTATTATTGACCCAGCCTACTCAACTGCTGAACACAATATTTTAGTGTACCGTTTTAAAGATAATACCGGCGCAATCCACGAGGGTCACAACGATGACGGCGAGTATGGTGCAGGGAGGCGGCTCGTCAAAGTTCTCCGATCACTAAATGTTACAAACAAGGCATGCGTTATCTCCAGGTTTTACGGTAAACACCTAGGCTTCCGCAGGTTTCAAATTATTGAAAACTTGACTGCAGACATTGTTCTTGCACATAGTGGCTAAATATGTGCCCATGTCAGGTAATTTCCTTATTGGAACTGTCACTGCTCTTTTCCATCAAAAATGATTATTATTAAATATTTAATAATGCTTCTTATTAATTATTTAATTATTTTTTGTTATTTATGTCTAAATTGACAAATTTTTTCCTTTCCTTTCTTGTATTAAACAATACGGATTTTTTACATCCGCAGTGTTTGGTCTAAAATTTGTTACTGCTTTTCCTTTCCGGTATTGAAATCCCGATACAGATCGAGATGACAAAGACACATTTTTGGTCAAAGCCTAAGGTACTCGAAATAAAATGACTTATCCTTTTTTTTGTACATACGCTGTATGTTTTTTTTCTTTTGTGTTTCTGTTATATACCTGGCTCTATGTTAAAAAAGAACTATTTGTTTACATGCAACTTCAATTGAATTGGCAATGTTTATTGCACTCTTTTTTATTGCGAGTGAGCCAGTGTTGGTGCTCTGTAACAGAATCAAAATAGATTATGTCTTTTAATATATCTTGCTTATCTCTAAATGTAAGGGGGTTAGGTTTATCTAGTAAAAGAAGATGTTTGTTTACATGGTTTAAAGAGAAATTTCCCAATCATTTTATTTATTTACAAGAAACACATTCTACTGAACAAGATCAGCAGATGTGGAAAACTGAGTGGGAATCGGATATCATTTTTACTCATGGAGTATCTAATAGCAAAGGGGTAGCAATTTTATTTCCACATCATATAGACTATAAAATAATTGAACACACAGGTGATGATATTGGCAGATTTCTGAAAGTATCTATTTTACTAGATGATTCAAAATTTACATTGATAAATATATATGCACCAACAAAAGATAACTCAGTTGAACAAGTTGAATTTTTAGATTTTTTGTTGAATCATTTAGAAGAAGAGAGTGATAAGAATTTGATATTAGGTGGTGATTTCAATATTACTTTAAACCCTATTATAGACAAACAAGGCGGAGGCATTGAAGGGAAATCCAAATACAGAGATAATCTAATCGCTGCAATGAATGATCTAAATTTAATAGATATATGGAGAGAAAAAAATCCAGATAGAAAACTTTTCACTTTTTTGCGAAAAATTCCAATTATTTTATCAAGATTAGATTTTTTTCTTGATTCCAGCTTTTATGGTACCTTTTGGAACGACAAGTATAAAACCATCAATAAAAACAGATCATAGTGTTATAACCATAACGTTAAAGGGAAAAAATTTTGTAGATAGAGGCCCTGGTTTTTGGAAATTTAATGCATCCTTATTACAAGATGAGGTATTTGTAGAGAGAATAAAAAATACAATTGCACAGTTAAAAGAAAAATACTTTAAGTTAGTTGAAATGGGATACAATTAAATGTGAACTAAGAGGATTTATTGTAAAGTATTCAAAACTAAAAGCTCGTAGAAATCGAAAGAGTGAAGAAAGTCTTATTAAGAAACTAGAGGAACAAAATGTAAAATTGGCAACAGATCCAACTGAAGAAAATATTAACATATATAATGAAATAAGAGAAGAGTTGGAAATATTAAATGATAACAAAACTAAAGGAATTATATTAAGATCTCAGGCAAAATGGTGTGAAGAGGGGGAAAAATGCTCAAAATTCTTTTTATCTTTGGAAAAAAGAAATTACAGAAATAAATGTATCTCAACACTAAATATAAATGAAAATATTGTACATTGTAAAAGTGAAATATTAGAGGAGGAGATGAAATTTTATAAGAAATTATATACATCTGACTTGGATTATAATGAATATAATGAAAATCTTGGCTATTTTGTAAATAATGTAAACATTCCAAGACTTCAAAAAAAGGAATCTCTTTCATGTGAGGGACCAATTACTTATGAAGAATGTGCAAATATTTTGAAAACTTTTAGACATAATAAATCACCAGGAACTGATGGGTTTCAAATGGAATTTTATGAGTATTTCTGGAATCAGATATCGGAACTAGTCATTGATAGTATAAATGAAAGCACTGAAAAACACACTCTCTCAGTTGACCAAAGAAAAGGAATAATAACTCTAGTTCCTAAAAAAGATAAAGCTAGAACTTTGTTAAAAAACTGGAGACCAATATCTCTTCTAAATTTTGATTATAAAATATTATCAAAGGTATTGGCAAAAAGGATGAAAACTTATTTACCTCATTTAATAGATTCTGACCAAACTGGATATTTAGAGAATAGATTTATAGGAGAAAATATTAGAACCATATCTGATCTTATAAACTATACTAGTATTAAGAATATTCCTGGACTAATTCTCTTAGTTGATTTTGAAAAGGCATTTGATACAATAGAATGGCCTTTCATCGATAAAGCTTTAGAAATATTTGGATTTGGTGAAAGTTTCAGACATTGGGTTGAAATCCTGTATACAGATATCTCTAGTAGTGTTATAAACAATGGGTATACAACATCTTTCTTCAAATTAACTAGAGGAGTAAGACAAGGATGCCCTTTATCACCCTACCTGTTCATGTTATGTGTCGAGCTACTTGCAATAGCCATAAGGGCAAATAGAAATATACGTGGTTGGGTTAGGGTTAGGGTTAGGGTTGGGTTAAGGTTAGGGTTAGGGTTGGGTTAGGGTTAGGTTAGGGTTAGGGTTAGGGTTAGGTTAGGGTTAGGGTTAGGGTAAGGGCACTTTGACGTGTTGCGTGTGCGGGATTGCGGGACTCCGCCTATTTTATCACGTGATTGTCAATCATTTCATTGTGAAAGTAGGTGTTTTCTTGCAGAATTTCTTTCGATTTGGACGTTTATATACTGTTGTGTTTTTAATGGTTGATTTTCTTGATGTAAGGTAATATTTTATTTGAGGTTATTTCATTTTTTAATTGCTAATTATCATGTATTGTTTGAGTAAGCAACGGCATCTTTTTTAAGGAAGTAATGCATAATCTTGCCTTATTTTTGCATTAAAAATTTACGGAAGTATAGGGCCGACTTCATTTGTTACAGATCGGCGTACGCCGAATTGCGCCGGTCATATGATCGGCGTAAAACGGCTAACTGGCAAATGAAGTAAACCGGCGAAAACAAAAAATAATTATACTATATAACAATCAATTAATTAAGATCTATCACTTTTTACGTTATGTCGTAGCAAAAAAAAGGTTGGATAATTAGAAATTCAATGTTTAAAAAAGTCATGGACCTCATGAAAAAAATTATTTTTAGAAATTAAGAACGGATTTTAAATAAATGAATGGAGATTTGTTCAAGAAATGCACACAATTAAAGAATATGCCGAATTGGTAAAAAGTATCCACATTTTATAAGTTGTTTTATCTTCCCGCCATATTTCTAAGACCGGCGAATTGCTCGCCGGTCATATCAGACCGGCGAGATCGGCGTACGCCGGCGAACCTTCCCCGGTCAAATGAAGCAACAAGCCGGGTTACCAAAGGTCAAGCGGCGCATTCGGCGTACGCCGAATTGACAAATGAAGTCCCACCAAAATGAATTTTTTGTGTTTCAGAGGACGAAGTTTATGTATATTTTTTTGTGTTCTTCAAAAGTACCTGGTAATTTAAAGTGTATTTTCAATGGTTAATTAGGATATATTCCTTTTAATTACACAATAAGAACATATTGATTGAAATTAAGGTCATTTAAGTTAACTTCAAATGATGCTGAGTATGCACACCAGTGTACTCGGGTATACCCTAGGTATACCCGGGTTTAACCCAGGGTATACCCGGGTTTTACCCAGGTTATACCTGGGATTAACCCAGGGTATACCCGGGTTTAACCCGGGTTATACCCGGGTTTAACCCGGGTTATACCCGGGTTTAACCCGGGTTATACCCGGGTTTAACCCAAGATATACCCGGGTTTAGGGTTAGGGTTAGGGTTAGGGTCAGGGTTAGGGTCAGGGTCAGGGTTAGGGTTAGGGTTAGGGTTAGGGTCAGGGTTAGGGTTAGGTTTAGGGTTACTGTGGGTTAGGGTAAGGGCACTTTGACGTGTTGCGGGTGCGGGATTGCGGGACTCCGCCTATTTTATCACGTGATTGTCACTCATTTCATTGTGAAAGTAGGTGTTTTCTTGCAGAATTTCTTTCGATTTGGACGTTTATATACTGTTGTGTTTTTAATGGGTGATTTTTTTGATGTAAGGTAATATTTCATTTGATTTTTTTAATTGCTAATTATCATGTATTGTTTGAGTAAGCAACGGCATCTTTTTTAAGGAAGTAATGCATAATCTTGCCTTATTTTTGCATTAAAAATTTACGGAAGTATAATGAATTTTTTGTGTTTAAGAGGACAAAGTTTATGTATATTTTTTTGTGTTCTTCAATAGTACCTGGTAATTTAAAGTGTATTTTCAAAGGTTAATTAGGATATATTCCTTTTAATTACACAATAAGAACATATTGATTGTAATTAAGGTCATTTAAGTAAACTTCAAATGATGCTGAGTATGCACACCAGTGTACTCGGGTATACCCTAGGTATACCCGGGTTTAACCCAGGGTATACCCGGGTTTTACCCAGGTTATACCCGGGTTTAACCCAGGGTATACCCGGGTTTAACCCGGGTTATACCTGGGTTTAACCCAAGATATACCCGGGTTTAACCCAGGATAATCAAGGGTTAAACCCAGGATATACCCGGGTATAACCCAGGATATACCCGGGTATAACCCAGGATATACCCGGGTATAACCCAGGATATACCTGGGTATTACCCAGGTATAATCAAGGATATATCTGGGTTTAACCCATGATAAACCCGAGTATAACCCAAGATATACACGGGTTTAACCCATGTTAAACCCGGGTATAACCCAGGGAAAACTTGGCCGTGATACAGGGTGAATATTATTGTGAAACCCAGGTATACGATGGGTTTACTTTGGTTTTCTACAGGTTTTTTACTCTTTATTCATATTTATTTTACTTAATGAGTATGAGAGCATATTTTTTTGCTTTCCAACGTTGTGAAGTAGGATCTTTTAATATTGTTAGTACA